CTCTCACTGCTGTGGCCTCTCCCGTTGCAGAGCACAGGCTCCGGACGCGCAGGCTCAGCGGCCATGGCTCACGGGCCCAGCCGCTCTGCGGCATGTGGGATCTTCCCGGACAGGGGCACGAACCCGTGTCCCCTGCATCGGCAGACAGACCCTCAACCACTGTGCCACCAGGGAAGCCCCAGGCTCCTTTTATAAGAAAAGGGGAGGGAGAGTAAGGCCAAACACTTCCTGGTTCCCATCAGCCCCCACAGGGGATGTGTTCATTTCTTCCTCCCTGCAGTCATTCACAGGTGGGCCTGGGCAGAAGGTTTCCTGTGAGCTACACAGAGATATTTTAGCTTAACGCTCATTATCTGGGAGGCAGGGTTCCCAGAGATGGGCCACTATGTATAATTTAAGCTTATGGGCAACATCCCTTTAGTGATGAGCTTGTGATAGGATACAAAGGTTCTTCCCTATTACAAGATCACATTGTGTTAACAGAGCAGGATGCCGAGGGTGCGTGCCTGCTGAGGGTCTCCCAGCCCCACTGTCTCTGTCCTGGCAGAGCCCTCCGTGCCCGCCCCCAGTCCTGCCGAGGTTTGCCTGGGGTGCCACTTTTCCCACATCCTGGGATCTCTGCTGCACTGGGAACCACAGCAGCAGTGTGGCGTGTTGGTAGCCCAGGCCAGTGCAGGGTGAGGAGGGCAGGTGGGCTGGCCAGTCAGGGACAGGGCACTGCCCAAGGGAAGGGGGTCCGGCCAGCGGCTGGGGGTCAGTCCATCAGGGCCAGTGGCTGAAAGTCAGGTCTGCGGTCAGGATCCGGCAGGTGGCCAGGAACTCCAGGGAGGCTCTGAGGCCGGGTGACTGCTGTGGTCAGGTGCAGCAAGGCCGCAGGGGCAGGGAGCCGGGCAGGTGGCCGGCACGGACCAAGCTGGGACCTGTGCACAGCTTGCTGGGCAGGGGCTCATCCAGCCTGTGGCCTTGCATGGTGATTGCTAAATATGTGTGTCACTGAGTACTTTTTCATTAGCAGGCCAAGTAACTAGTATGAGAGCTGTGTATTCTGAGCTTGACATTAAATAAAGAAGCAAATGGGTCAAAATTAATAGGAAAGAAAAGAGTTGTATGTTTGAGACAGTGTTTGGTCATCAAAAAACAAGAAGTGTAGGACTTCCCTTGTGGCGCAGTGGTAAAGAATCCGCCTGCCAGTGCAGGGGACACGGGTTCGAGCCCTGGTCTGGGAAGATCCCACAAGCCGCGGAGCAGCTAAGCCCATGCGCCACAACTACTGAGCCTGTGCTCTAGAGCCCGCGAGCCTCAACTACTGAGCCCACGTGCCACAACTACTGAAGCCCCCGCGCCTAGAGCCCGTGCTCTGCAACAAGGGAAGCCACTGCAATGAGAAGCCCGGGCACCGCAACGAAGAGTAGCCCCCGCTCACCACAACTAGAGAAAGCCTGCGCGCAGCAACGCAGACCCAACGCAGCCAAAAATAACTAACTAACTAACTAAATAAAGTGTGCCCGTGAGGAATGCAGCTCTGTGCTTGCCCTACTGCCCCCACCCGGCGTCTGAGCTGAGCAGCCAGGACCCCAGAGGGATCCCCCAGGGTGGGAACGGGCACTCTGGTGTTGGGCGCGACTCCCGTGAGCGCGGGGACCTTGGGAAGCCCGGACTCGTCACGCGCCGTCTTGAACTAACAGAGATCTTGCTTCTTCTCTCCCCTCTAAGAGCCGAGGAGCCGCCCGCTCAGCAGCCTCCGAAAGGCCAGGCCCAGGTCAATAATGGAGCAGGTAGGCCTGGGGGACGGAGATGGGGTGGGGGTGGTGGTTCTGTTCCTGGGCGCACTTCCGGGGATCCCCTCCTGTTGGAACTGGGTTAGTGTCTCTGATTACTGGTTGGTGAGTCTCCGTAGCAGATGCAAGGCATTCGATCAAAACATGACTTTATTTTCTCCTAAAAATACAATGCGACATCTCTCCCAGCCCTTCCCCAAAGAGGAATCATGTCGTGGTCACACTGGCTGCTTGGCCCCTGGCCTGGCGACCTGCTTCCAGAGGCCAGCTGTCCTGACAAGGGGGTGAGTGGGGAGGTGGGGTCAGCTGCAGGCGTTGTGCCCCAGCACCCCCAGGTCAGGACGCAGAGCTCCTTTCAGTGCCTTTTCTTCCCACCCTGGGCTCGAGTTCCTTATCTCCCTCAGCACTTGGCACTTTCTGAAATTGTCCTTCAGAGGATGGCATGGGAGGAAACTGGGCATCTCGAGGGACCGGATTTGTGGTCCACCCAGGCCCCTCACAGGCTGAGGAGGTGGGAGAGGGGATAGGGTTAGGGTTGACGGTAAGCCCCTGCCTGTGCTGGGGGCTCAGAGGGCTACAACAGGAGGGCCTTCGGTTAAGCCCTGCCCAGTGTAAAGGTGAGGAGACCAAGCCCCGGGAGGGAAGGCCTGTCAGGCTTCCGCTCCAGGTGGAGGCTGAGCTCAGACCAGAGCTGAGTCCTGACCCCCTACCTGCCGTCCAGAGAGGGAGACGCCTCTTTCCCAGGGCCCCGGTGCTGGACCCGCAGACAGGCCAGCCGGCTGCGGCATTGGCTACTGTGTCCACTGGGTCACAGTCCCCTGGGTTCTCAGGGTTCATGACCGGTGGCCCAGGTTCCAAGCCAGGAGCAGCGCTGGAGACCTCCCCCCACAGCCCCCCCCCCCATCCCCGCCAAGGCCCCTGCTGTGTGTGGCAGTTGATGAGCCTCCTGCGCTCGTGGGAAGTGTCAGAGTAGAGTCCTTCCACCCCGTACCCCCCCAGGGTGGGAACGGGCACTCTGGTGTTGGGCGCGACTCCCGTGAGCGCGGGGACCTTGGGAAGCCCGGACTCGTCACGCGCCGTCTTGAACTAACAGAGATCTTGCTTCTTCTCTCCCCTCTAAGAGCCGAGGAGCCGCCCGCTCAGCAGCCTCCGAAAGGCCAGGCCCAGGTCAATAATGGAGCAGGTAGGCCTGGGGGACGGAGATGGGGTGGGGGTGGTGGTTCTGTTCCTGGGCGCACTTCCGGGGATCCCCTCCTGTTGGAACTGGGTTAGTGTCTCTGATTACTGGTTGGTGAGTCTCCGTAGCAGATGCAAGGCATTCGATCAAAACATGACTTTATTTTCTCCTAAAAATACAATGCGACATCTCTCCCAGCCCTTCCCCAAAGAGGAATCATGTCGTGGTCACACTGGCTGCTTGGCCCCTGGCCTGGCGACCTGCTTCCAGAGGCCAGCTGTCCTGACAAGGGGGTGAGTGGGGAGGTGGGGTCAGCTGCAGGCGTTGTGCCCCAGCACCCCCAGGTCAGGACGCAGAGCTCCTTTCAGTGCCTTTTCTTCCCACCCTGGGCTCGAGTTCCTTATCTCCCTCAGCACTTGGCACTTTCTGAAATTGTCCTTCAGAGGATGGCATGGGAGGAAACTGGGCATCTCGAGGGACCGGATTTGTGGTCCACCCAGGCCCCTCACAGGCTGAGGAGGTGGGAGAGGGGATAGGGTTAGGGTTGACGGTAAGCCCCTGCCTGTGCTGGGGGCTCAGAGGGCTACAACAGGAGGGCCTTCGGTTAAGCCCTGCCCAGTGTAAAGGTGAGGAGACCAAGCCCCGGGAGGGAAGGCCTGTCAGGCTTCCGCTCCAGGTGGAGGCTGAGCTCAGACCAGAGCTGAGTCCTGACCCCCTACCTGCCGTCCAGAGAGGGAGACGCCTCTTTCCCAGGGCCCCGGTGCTGGACCCGCAGACAGGCCAGCCGGCTGCGGCATTGGCTACTGTGTCCACTGGGTCACAGTCCCCTGGGTTCTCAGGGTTCATGACCGGTGGCCCAGGTTCCAAGCCAGGAGCAGCGCTGGAGACCTCCCCCCACAGCCCCCCCCCCCATCCCCGCCAAGGCCCCTGCTGTGTGTGGCAGTTGATGAGCCTCCTGCGCTCGTGGGAAGTGTCAGAGTAGAGTCCTTCCACCCCGTACCCACAGCGGGGGTCACCGTGTTGTGCTCTGCGTGGGAGGTGGGGAGTGTGGGAAGGGAGGGAAGGACCCCACCAAGCGCAGCCCCGAGGATGGAGGTGGCGGGGACAGATGCTCTGCCTGGTGCTGGGGCAGAGTGGGGCTTGGGAACGCCGTGAGGCCTGTCCACTCGGGCAGCCCGCCTGACCTCGACCCGGGGTCGGCGAACTACAGCTCCCCATCTGCCTTTACATTGAAAAAAATTCTTACACTTTTAAATGGTTGAAAGAAAATCAAAAGGATTTGACACGTGAACGTTGCATAAACTTCAAATTTCAGCGTCCTCATTGTGGTTTCACGGGGACGCAGCCACGCCAGTCCCATTACTCACTGCCCACGGCTGCTGTCCAAGCGGTTATAGGGCTGAGCCTGCCTAGACCCTCCCCCTAAAGACCCTGTCGTGCTCCAGGTGGGCTGCGAGAACCCCGGGCCCTTGCTGCCCCTCCTCTGGGCATTTCTGAGCCTCGCGGCCTCTGTGTGCGCCGCCCTCCATCCCCTGGCCTCCGTCCCTTCGAGCTGGCAGCACACGACCACCTGCGTGCACTCCATCCCCCTCTGACTGTGGTGGGACGGCGCCCCCTGCAGGCGACTCCACGACCTGCTCTCCGAAGGGACAGACTTGTTCCGTGGGATTCGGGCTGGTTTTCTCGAGTCTGACGAGTCTGACGTGGGCGACTTCACTCACTGGGGCTCCCAGCGGACCACAGCCCCTGACGCACGCCCACCGGCTGTTCCCCAGGGTCCGAGTGTCCCTGGGAGTCAGCCCACCTGGCCACTTCCCAGACCAACCAGTGTGCCCGGCAGCGGGGGGTGGTCAACGCAGCGCCAGCGGTGGGCTGAGAGCCCGCCTGGACGGCACCTGCGCCGGGGACAGCCTCCAGCAAGCTGGGGGTCGGTGTGAGGAACACGGGGACCCGCCGGGGTCTGCACTGGTTGGTTTGCACCTCGTGGTTAAGTGGGTCGGGCTCTGTTCTCAGGGCACCTGGCCCCTCACGGTTCTGGCGTGGATGTGCCCTCGCCGGCCCGGCTGGGAGCCCCACCTGCCAGTGCCCCCGCCTCTGCCGCTCTGTAAGGCCCCTCTCGGCCTGCTGCCCTCACCCGGAACCCTGCCCCGTCCTGCAGACCGACGGAGCCAGGGGCTGTGCCCCCGTGTCCAGAAGTGGTTCTATGAGAAATTCGGGGAGTACGTGGAGGACTTCCGGTTCCAACCCGAGGAGAGCGCGGTGGAGACGGAGGAGCCCCTCAGCGCCCGGAGGTGGGGCCCGACTCTGCGGCTGTCCCGGCAGGACAGGCATCCTCGGGGCCAGCAAGCAAAGCCGGGGAGGTTTTGCCGGGGGGCGGCCGCACGGCCGTGCCCCCCAGTCACCACGTGGTGGTACCGGTGCTTTGCGACAGACGTCACGCGGGGACGGTGGCGACCCCGAGAGTGCCCGCGGGCCGGGCCGGGCCCTCAGACTCGGGTGGGGGCGGCGTGGGCGGGAGATGAGGAAGCCGCCCCCCCGTGGGTCACCTGCGCTCCCCGAGGGCCCGCAGGGAGCTGCGGGATCAGGACGCGGCTGTGGCTGAGTGGGTGCTGGCGCTCATCTCTTTCCCCCTCTTAGGTTGACCGAGAACATGAGGAGGCTCAGTAAGTACCCGGCGTGGACTTAGTAAGCACCTGCTCGTCGCTGGGGCTGTGCGAGCCGCTGGGGCCGGGGCTGCCCGGGCGGTGACTGCGGTCTTGCGCTGAACTGGACTTGCTTCCGGAAGCATGTTTTCCGGGAGTTCCCAGCCCAGCCTTCTTCCTGAGGCTGTGGGAAGTATGTCCCGGGCCCGGCCCGTCTGTCTGTCCGCCCCTGGCCCGAAGCCGAGTTTCCCTCCAGGCCTGGGAGCCCCAGCGAAACGTGGTGTTCTCCAGATACTTGTCAGGGCCCGGGGTGTGCGGACTAAACCCCTGTTCCCCGCCCGCGGGCACGGGCAGGGGCAGACGGGCAGACAGACGTCTCCCCGCGGGGAGGGAGGACGGGCCGCAGCCAGGGAGTGGCCGCAGGAGCGCTGGCCTGGGGTCAGGCGCACCGGGAGCCCGTGACGGTTGGGGTTTGCTTTGCTCCTCTTGGTTCCCTCCCCCGCCCCACGCCGCCAGCTGGTGCAGCAGCCGGACTGCCAGGTGTGTCTGAGGGCCGGGCTAGCGCTGGCCTGACCGCGTGGTCCATTCTGTCCCCAGAGCGCGGTGCCAAGCCTGTCACCAGCTTTGTGAAGAACCTCTCTGCCTTATCCGACTGGTATTCCGTCTACACGTCTGCCATCGCCTTCACCGTGAGCGCTCCCCGCGGGTGGGTGGTGGGGTGTGCACCCTCCCTGAGGTTTCCTGAGGGACCCACCCATCCCTGCCGTGTGGGACAGCTCCCGGTCTCGGTGTTTCCGTCTGTAAAGTGGGCTGCAGGGCAGTTGTAAGAACTGAGTAAGGGTGTTGTGGGGTGCAGCCTAGGGCTGGCAGTGGGGCTCCCCGCCTGCCCAGAATCCCCACAGCAGCGTTCTTGGGAGAGGGCCTCGTGCCAAGCTTATGGCCGACTTTCCCAAGTGGGTTGGGGAAGGGCCGGTGGGGCGCTCTCCCTGCCTGTGCAGAAACCAGCCGTCCCTCCCATCAGGCACCGGCGCCTGGGGGAGGCTCCTGGCGGGCGCACAGTGGCCTAGGGGCCAAGCAGGCCACCAGGCCTGGGGAAGGTAGGCGGCGTTGGGCCAGCATCATGGGGTGCTTTGGGGAAGACAGGCCCAGTCGCAGTCTGAATTGTCCTGTGGTGGCTGCTCCCAGCCCTGCCTGGGGAGACCCTGCTGTCCAGCGGGACGAGGATGGAGAGGGAGAGGCACAGCCCCCAAAGGCCCCATCTCTGCAGAGGCCCCCATAGGTGGCCTCCGCCTGAGAGGGTCCTGAGGGCCGCCCTGAAGCCCCAGGGGCCCCCCGTCCACCAGGGAAATGGGTGTTGTGCACATGCAGAGGACAGGTCGTGGTGGCCAGGGGCCAGCCCCCTTTACCCTGGAGGTCTCCTCTGGCCACCCTTCACAAGCACTCTGCTCCATGGGGCCTCGGCTGCTTTGGGTCCCGGGTCCCTAGTTCCGCCTGTGTGTTACGGCTGAGCTGACCCTGCCCGCCGTTCAGTCCACCTGCCAGGCCTCCTCCTGAACCCACTGCATCCGTCCCCTACCCTCTCTGAGCACCAGCGCTGTGCCCAGCACCCTGCCTGCCCTGTGGCGTGGGGTAGACTGTCAGCAGTGCTGGGTACGCGGATGCCTCCGGCTCTGGCAGGTGGGCCCGCAGTGGCGGTGGGCCAGGACCTCTCTGTGGGGTCAGCCCTCCTCCTGTGATCCCGGGCCACGTCCAGGCTGCTCCTTCCGGGGCATAACCGCTCCCAGCCCACCCAGAGCAGTGTTTCCGTCCCACCTCCTCCCTGAGCGGGTTTGTCTACACTGCGTGCCCTGGTCCTCGGGCCTGCGGAGGGCCGTTGGGGCCTGGTCTCCCTGCCTGCGAGTGCGGCCTGCCTGGCTGGGGGAGAGAGGGATCTGGTCTGTCCTGACCCACGCGGGCAGGTCGCCTAACCGTCTCCCTCCCGACCCGTTTCTCTCCAAACCCGCAGGTGTACATGAATGCCGTGTGGCATGGCTGGGCCATCCCCATGTTCTTATTTCTAGCAATTTTGAGGTTATCCCTCAATTACCTCATAGCCAGGTAGGTGCGCCGGTTTGCTGTGTGTGCGCGGCTGTGCCGTCTTCCTGCGTTACACGCACGGCAGGGCCCGTGCCGAGGCAGCTCTGTGTCACGTGCTGGCGTTTTGCGAGGTTGTCCTCTAATAGTCCCCGAGCCCCCAGGAGGATGGTTTGCTGCAGCGGGCAGGGTGATCCCCAAACCCTAGCAGCTCTGTCCAGCAGGCTGCCAGCCGGTGCCGGCTTTGGGGCCCCTCCGGTCGTGCTGCTTTTGGGCAGGAAAGTCCCCCCTCCACACACACCTCAACAGTGACATCCCAGGGGGTGGAGGCGGGGTCGACAGGGCTGCAGCGGCTCTGTGCCCTGGGAGGTCCCCACTGGTCGGGGTGCAGGTGCCGGAGAGGTGCTGGGACTCAGCAACCCCAGAGCCCAGGGCCACGCGGTATCTTCCCTGCGCCCTCTCCGAGCACCCGCTTTCCGTCTCGAGGCTGTGGGGGGGGGGGGG